ACTTTAACTTCCAGGCAAAGGTGGGGTACTCTGAACAGGGCCCCAGTAGCACAGGAGATAATACCAGCCACCAACAAACAAGATGATCTCATTTGCTGTCCAGAGACAGCAAAGGGGCTATCAACAGACTGAAGCGACGACCCACGGGAGGAGAGCAACCTTTCACAGTAATAAACAGAACAGATTAGAGTCTAGAATATGCAAATAACTAAAAAACCCAACTATCCAATTAAAAAATGGACTGTTAATCTGAACAGAAAGTTATCAAAAGAAATACACTGCCTCGTAAACAACTTTAAAAAGTGTCTCAACATCTTAAGCCAGGGGAGAAATGCAAATTAAAAGTATTTCAAGAGTCGATCTCAACTGAGTCAAAGGGCATCATCAGGAACACAAATGGTAACAGATGCTGGTGTGGCCCCAGCAAATGAGCAGCTCCTGGAGGCTATAAGCTAGTGTACCAGTGTGGAAATCAGCATAGGGATTCTCAAAAAATTAGCAACAGAACTGTAATATGACCCTTATCCCCCCTGGAACCAAAAGGAACCCTTCTGTAAGCTGCCTTGGTATATACAATACTCTTGGGTACACACCTAATGGACTGCATATCCTACTGCACAGACATTTGCAGATGCCCATTGTTAGATAAGGAAAATGTAGTACATATAATAACGGAATATTACTCAGCTGTAAAGAAGAGTGAGGTCACAAAATCTGCAAATAAACGGGAAGAACTGGAAAATACTAACTTCGTGACGTCACCCAGACCAGTCCAGAAACTCTGCATGCTCTCTCTCAAGTGCAGATCCTGGCTTTGTTTTGTATGCAGAAGCCAGGAAACTAGAAAGGGGCCAGGAAACTAGAAAGGGGCCATTGAGTGTGTTGGGGGGTATAACTCAAGGGTGAGTAGTAGGCAATGGGTAAATTGAAAGCACTGATGTAGAATACTAAGGGCAGAAAGGCTTAAGAAAGGGGGGACCAAAGAGGATAGGAAAAATGGGGTAAGTATTAGCTTAGAGAAGGAGTGTGGAAATCTAGTATCTCTCCACTCAAAAACTATAACTGGAGGGAGGTTCAAACACATGAGGTATGAAAGAAGAGGGGAAGGATACTAGGAGTTAAATATTAAGTGGGGCTGATGGCTATGTGATGGGGGAGGAGAGGGGGTAATAAGTGAGTTCACCAAAACTAAGTCTGTGAAAAAGTTTTAAGGGAACCCGCATGTTAGTAAGTTAATTTTTTTAGAAAAGTTTGAATAAGGTGCCCTGCATGGGTGAACAATGCCATTCCAGAAGACACGGGTAATAAAAAGAAAATCTCAGTGCAAGGCATACCATCCCCACCCCTATGAGTTATGGATGAGGGTGGCCCCCGAGGTCTTCAAGACAATATGGGTTACTGCCAAGGCCCTTGGTTAGCCACTATAACTATATGGTAAGCCTGATTGCTGAAGATACCACAAACTTTGGTTTCAGGGCAGCAACAAATATCAAATCATCAGGGAAACTCCCTCCCTGCTGGCTAGCTTTCCTAGTGCCAGAATGTGCTATGCTGGCTGCTGGGGGGAAAGCATCAATGACCTCATATAGCCCTAGACCCCACATGCTCAGTACTGACATGCTAAGGAAGGTGTGGCCACCACTGCAACAGTGGCACAAGTGACACGGGGCAACCAGCTGCTTTCTGATTGGATGTGAAACCTGTTCCACAGGAGGAAATTTCATGCCTGAGAATTTTGTAAACCTGGTCTGCAGTCCATGACTTGGGAGAGCATAGGCCCCGAAGAAGCTGCTACTGTTCTTTTGCTAAATGGCCATGTTGTCAAACTGCCTTCTAAATATTTGTGTCTACACACAGAGGCATGGGCTGCTCTCAATCGTGGTCAGAAAAGAGTCTCTACAGCAGGCAGCAGTCCAGGCAGAGACTCACAATTGGTTATGAGTAAGTGACTGTGAATGCCCAGCCCTAAATGGACCATCTCTGTCAGTGACCACCTGCTTCTGCTCTCCCGGGTCTCAGGAAACACCAAGGAAGGAGAAGCAGGAAGAATATAAAAGCTGGAGAAGGTGGAACTGTGCTGTGAAACAGTCTTCTGAACAGGACACACGTGAACTTACACAGCTGTCGTTACTATCACAAGACCTGCAAGGTTAATTAAGGCAGCCAAACACTGTAAGGAACACTTGAGGCTCCACCTCTTGCTGAGGAGCTTTGGGCAGTGAAGGGCTGCTGGGGGAGGGGAATCATTCCTGCTTCCTTGAGGCTTCAGTGATCGCCCCATACCTACTCACACAAGCATAGCACCAATTAGACTTCATGGCCTAGTATATGAAAAAACAAAAAGAGGACATGAATTTGGGAAGGGGCCCATGCTAGGGGAAATCTAGGGAGAGCTGGAGGGGATAGAACAGGTAGAAAGGGGATTTCTTCATGTATGCACGAAAGAAATTCAGAATAAAAAGGAAAAAGAAAAACAAAATGCCAAAAATATTGATGACAATATTATAAATTGCAAAAAAACCCACTTCCTTTGTGATATAAATTGAGAAATTTCAACTCCATATGGTAATTTATATCTCAACAAGGCACTACAGGTTTTAGAGACATGCTAAAAAGAAAAGCATTTCAGACATTTCAGATGTGGGTAAGACTCCGAGAATCTATGTCATACACAATTTCCTATAGAATATTTTAGAAAACACATGGTAGCTAACAATGAAAGTAAAAAATAAATAATAAAAAACAAAATGGAAGACTACAGCCTAGGAGGACACTAGTCTACGATGCTGTCATCAGGCTCAGAGAAGAGCCCACGCAGAACTGATCACTTAATAAATCTTATCAATTAACTGATCATTTAGTGTTACACAGTAACATTATAAATTCTACTTAGTTTTAAATTTTGATGGAGGAAGGTCATTGGTTAAGTAAAAAGAAACTGCTTGGCCCTCATTGGTTAGAAGATAGGTGGGAGGAGTAAACAGAACAAAACGCTGGGAGGAAGAGGAAGTGAGCTCAGACTCGACAGCTCTCCTCTCGGGGGCAGATGCCTCAGAGAGAGAGACACCATGCTCCGGGCTCCTGGGCAGACACACGCAATGAAGCTCCGACCCAGGATGGACGTGGGCTAGAATCTTCCCGGTAAGACCGGTGCTCACAGATTATTAGAGATGGGTTGATCGGGATATCAGAATTAGCCAGTAAGGGCTAGAGCTAATGGGCCAAGCAGTGCTTAAATGAATACAGTTTGTGTGTTGTTATTTCAGAGCATAAGCTAGCCAGGCTGCCGGGGTGCTGGGGATGCAGTTCCGCCGCTTCATATTACTACAAAATTTTAAGATTTAATCAAGAGAAAAAGCAAGAACAAATAATATTTAAAGAATATAAAGACTATTTTTTTTCTGTTATCACAAAGCTTCCAGAAACATGCTAGGCACGCAGTACACATCTACAGACAAATGGTAAGGCTGTCAGGAGCTAGGATGTAAGTGTGGGTGAGAAAGATAAAGAAATTTCTGAGTTCTACATAGGGCAGTCTGGAGTCATTGCTTGAAATCAGCAAAGTGACAAATCTTATATGGCGTGTAGGTCTGAGCATGACAGTAGCTGCCTGCATCAGAGCAGCTGGGAGTACTAGTTGGGGATCCTCAGGGCCAGGACCTGGTGATGCTCTCTCACTGAAGGAAGACTGCAGAGATGGCTACTGGACCCTTAACATATTTGTCCCTCCTGCCACTCCCAGCTACTGTGTATAATTCTGCCTTAACTGCACTTACCCTTGTGGTCTCAAGAGGGACTAGAGTATACAGACTGTGGAAGGTTACCTAAAGGGCATCCCACCTATATGAACGTCACCATACAGATGGCTTCCTGCTGCTCTGATGCCACCTATGGTCCTGTAAACAACCCTTACCCACACTCTGAAAGAAGCTCACTGGCTTCCTGAATAAACTCACTGGCTCCCCAAGGTGAACTTTGGTGGATGATATGAGATAACCCTTCTGTAGGCTGTGAATATATGTTGCTCTCAATGGCTGATAATGAAAGCTGAATTGATCTGTAGTCAGGCAGATATGGGAAAGTCAAACGGAGATACAGAGAAGAGAAGGGTATAGTTGAGAGATGCCAGCCAGCCGCCAGAGGGACAAGATGTATTAGAGCACAGGTAAAACCACGAGACACGTGGCAAAACATAGATTAATAAAAATGGATTAATTTAGAAGGAAAAGCTAGTTATTAGTAAGCCTGAGCTATTTGGTCAAGCATTTTGTAATTAATTTTAAGTCTCTAAGCGATTATTTAGAAGTGGCTGTGGGATGGGGTGGGACAGAGAAACCTCCATTTACAGGTGGGATATTCTTGGGTTTGTTGTTGCCCTGGAAGAAGAGAGCAGATGTCTCTTCACATCTCCCCAGGAAAAAGAGTTCCTCCAACGTGAACACAAGCTTGTGGTGTTACCCAGAATTATTAGGACAACTGAGGTAGAAACATAAAATATTAAAAAAAGAAATAGAGAAGACTCAGGAAATTTTGAAGTCCCTTCCCTGTCTTTCTAAGTGTCAACTCAAGTCAATAAAGTATACAAATTAAGAACTAGCTGTATAAACACGCTGCTTACAGAACAAAAGCAGCTACTCAAAGAACTAAGAAACATGGGTAAAAAGAACTAAGGAGGAGGAAGTGGAAAGACGAGACAGAAGGAAAGGAGGGAGAGGGGAGAGGACAGCAGTAGGCAGGAGTACACAGAACAACTCTCTTTATACCCATATAAAATATCATTTGTCTGTCTCATATTCTTTTTCCTTCTTCCTCCTAGCGATATGACACAGTTCACACAAAAATATAGTAAACTGACCTCTGTGGTCTATAGAAAAAGAATTTTAAAATGTTGCTTAACACCTAAATAAACAAACTTTGTTTTACATTGTTTACCTTTTCGGCTCTAAGAATTCCAATGACACGCTGAGTTACTTCTGTTTTCTTGAAAGATCCAGACTTACCATGAAATTTTTCGGCTTCAGGATCATTCACATTGATAGTAATGATTTTCCAATCTGTGGCGTCCTGATCGATAAGTGCCAAAATTCCAAGGATCTTCACCTGAATCACATCTCCACGGGATAAAACCTTCACAGAGAAAAGACGCGGTCATTTGCAAGGCTTAGGAGGATTTAACCATAAAACCACACTCATATGACGGAAATGTAACAGTGTTAGTAACTATACACCATGTGAAAATGGTCAGAAAGCCTGTCTTGCATTCTCTTTCCTAGGAAGGAGAATCTCTATCTACTAGGAATGAGAAGATTTCTACTTCCACCCATAGAAGGATTGTTGGTTAAATAACCAAAACAAACAAAAAAGCCTTATATTAAACAACAGACAGTGTAGGACCATGACTCAAGAGGGAAGTTACCCAAGCAGGAGGGTTGGGCTTTCTGCCCAGTGAGCAGAGGTGACAGAAGGGGAGGCCAGCAGGACTTCCACATATGTTCATGGCAGGAGCACATGTGTATGAGCGCGCGCACACACATTCACACACAGACATACACACACACACTAAACAAGAAAACAAATAAAACACAGTTTAAAAAGAAGAAGAAAAACCACCACTGCCACCAAGGAGGTTGAGGCAGCTACAGAGACCACATCATTGACTGGAGACAAGAGTTTACTCCGGATGTACACACAGGGTAGAAGAAGCTGAAAGTGTCCTCGAGGAAAGGTTACTTCAGAGCAGCCCCATCCAATGTTACATTTTTTTTTTTTTTTTTTGGTTTTTCGAGTCAGGGTTTCTCTGTGGTTTTGGAGCCTGTCCTGGAACTAGCTCTTGTAGACCAGGCTGGTCTCGAACTCACAGAGATCCGCCTGCCTCTGCCTCCCGAGTGCTGGGATTAAAGGCGTGCGCCACCACCGCCCGGCTCCAATGTTACATTTTTATGACTAAGGACTGTCAAAAGGATTGTCTTAGCAGGACAGCGAGTGACAATGAAACAGTTATTAATGCTAGACAGAGACAAAACAGGTTCTATAAGATGCTTAAGAGGGAGTTTAGGATAACTTCCAACCCAAATCAGCAAGAGCCTGAGGTCCATGAGAAACTGTCTCCAAAAACAGTAGATGGAGCCTGAGGAGGAATGATGCCAGAGGCTGACCTCTGGCACCACATATGCAATGCCCTCTCCCTTGTACACACACAGGTACATACAGGTACATACACACACACACACACACACACACACACACACATATATATATATATACATACACATATATACATATCAGAAGTTGACACCAATGTTCCACTGCTTGGGAAAGTGATTTCAGTGCCTTGGGTTGCCAGCGCCTCAAATCTTTCTACATTCTTTTATTGTCACAGGCTTAGCAGGCTAATGAAATCCCCTGTAAGCTTATACTCTAAACACATTTCAGAAAACAAATTGCCTCTTGGTCCAAAATGCAGCTTTACATTTAGAAAATAAGGTATGCAAAACAAAGTCATTTATGTGCCCCCAAAGTGTTTGGAGAAAATGATATTAAACCATAAAATCAAGTAAATTCATTCAAAACATATGCAAAATGGCAAATCTTAATCTAAGTGGACGTGAAGTGACTATCACATGGCAGACTGGTATGTGACTGTGTGCATGGCACAGGAGCTTTGTTCTCGAGAGAAGACACAATCACATTAGGGTCTCCTGTAGCTTCTCTATTATCTAGTAAAGCCTGCTACTTGTAGCACTGTGAGGGAAAGGATGAAAGTGGGTGGGGTGGGGATGGTGGAGGGGATAATCACTGTATGCAAAGATTCACTACCTTGTCTGGGACACTTAGTGCAGGTGAGGACAGAAAAACAAGATAAGACAGCGGATCTCATCTCACATGTCAACCATTTTGACAGCATGGCCCAACCTGCAATTGTACAGGACAGGGATGGGAGGGACGCGGATGCACGGGGATGGGAGGGACGCGGATGCACGGGGATGGGGTGGATGCGGATGCACGGGGATGGGATGGATGCAGATGCACGGGGATGGAATGGATATGGATGCACGGGGATGGGGTGGATGCGGATGCAAGGGGATGGGAGGGACGCGGATGCACGGGGATGGGGTGGATGCGGATGCACGGGGATGGGGTGGATGCGGATGCACGGGGATGGGGTGGATGCGGATGCACGGGGATGGGGTGGATGCGGATGAAAGGGGATGGGGTGGATGCGGATGCACGGGGATGGGGTGGATGCGGATGCACGGGGATGGGATGGATGTGGATGCACAGGGATGGGATGGATGCAGGTGTGCGTCAGTCTTCACAAACACCAGCCCTGGAGGCAGAACCCTGTGGAAGCCAGAAACAGCCTCCAGAGTCATATGTCAAGACTTGATCCTACTCTGACAATCTCCAGTCATGGGATACAACAGTGAGACAACGGGAGAGGTCTTGTAGTTTTCGACCTATAATTTTCCCCAATCGTCAACAAGAAGTTTTGGGTTCCTAAACGAGTTATAATTTATTTCCGCCTTCTCATTCATAGAGATAAAAACGTTAGGGAGGATTTAAAAAAAACTGGTAAGAAAACAAATAAAAGCTTGTCCCTTAAGTCTAACCAAAAGACAAGGACTTAAGTGGTAGGTGAAGTTACTTCGTACAATACCCTAATTCTACAATGAGCGTGTATCTACCATTCTTGCTATTCTTAAAGAAAAGGGAAACACCACAAGCTCAGATTTTGCCTCCTTTTTTTATAAGAAGCAGCCCATCTTCAGTCAAAACACTTGAGTTTCTTCCACTCTAACGTCAGATTCCCAACCAAGCCCACCAAGCCCGTGGAAAGCTTTGGGATGCCCAGGAGGCTCTTGGTCCTAGGACTAGAGTTTAACTGGAGGCCTCGGTGATCTGACCTTGCCTTGTTTGGTCAGCACTGATGCTCTTTTCAGAAGCCTGTAGGGCTAAAAGCATCCCAGTCTGCGAAGGAGATACAAAAGCAATCTTATGCTCCCTTCTACAGTTCACCTGCCGACTGGATGTTGCCTCTTACCGCCCCACCCCCACCACGAGTTTTCCCTAGCTGCAAATTTCCAAGTATTTCAGGTATTTATCCTCAGGTCTAGACTATTGTTTCTTAAGTTCTCAATCCCCAAGTCTGAAAGGATGATGTATAGATACTTATGAGAGAGGGTAGTGATAGTTACAACTCTGAGTGTGCTTGCTTTCAAACCTGAAGCACTTCACAGAGAGACTGCAGCTGGTGGGTAAGGCTAACACAGGCCAGGTCCTTTAGTGCCCACTGGTGGTGGTCCTCCATTCAAACGAGGAGGTGGACAGAGAAGATCTGAAGAACAGAAACAGGCAGAATGATCTAGGACACTGTCAGGAGAAGCGATTACAGCATCTAGAGTACAAAGCCTTGAAGAAAAGACTTCAGGAAGACACAGTTCACAAGACCAAAGGAATTGTAAGGGCTTCAATAAAGATCTTGAGTTTGAAGTTACTGTGCAGTTGTGTTGGGTAACTCACGAACACGCTGGCTGAGTGGGTCTCAAGCAAGGAACTTCTAACCTCTAGAAGACACTGGCTGTCAGGAGACATTTTTGGTTTACTAGCATCTCCATGGAAGAGGGCAGGCATGTTCCTGAGGCATATCGTGCTAACAAAGATTTAGCCATCTCAAACATCAGCTGTGCTGCAGAAGTGGGCAGCAGAGAAGTTCTCGGGGACTTCCATTCCAAACTATTTTGTTTTCTTATTCATAAACATATTTCCCAACAACATAACAACCAGTGAGTCTATTCTTTAGACTTTGAGGCTAGCAGAAAGCAAGTTCGGCCGACTGTCAAGTTTCATCAGATGTAGCAGCTTTTGATCTCAGAAAAACACAGGCAGGGAGCCTTATTTCAAACCACTGCTTGGCAGTAATACCTTCAAAACACAGAGGAAATCTCAAACCCCAAACTGTAAAGGATGCTTAGGAACAAATGGTAAAGTACTGATGAAGCTGCTACCCTCCAGGTTAAAGCAATTCAACAAATTTCTGCTGACGTGTCGTCTTCTCATAAACACCAAGCGAATAATACACAATCCCTTAAGAAACTCACAAATGTTCAACACTGTCTGTGGCCCTCAGCCTAGGAGCAACTTACATTGTTTCTTTGCTTCAGCCATGAGTTATGTGTGTTCAAAGACTTCCCATCACTGCTTCTCTTACAACCGACTTAAGGTCACTAATCACACACACCTTTCTTGAAAGGTGACTGTATTTGCTTCTCATTTAGAAGGCTCTGCCACAGCTCATGCTGGCTACAAGAATCAGCTGCTTTAGCTGTCAGAGGACTTCTACTTTCCCAGCAGGACTGCCACTCCGCCCTTCCAAGGAAATGACTGAATGCAGGAGATGTGACCACTTCCGAGGGAGCAACACAACTCGGTGTGTAAACTAGGTTGAGTTTCTCAAGCCAGAGTTTGAGAATTTTTTGTCCCCGGTATCAGGGACTACCAGACAGAGGCCTTCCTAGCTGTTGTGGGGACATTTCAAAGGGCAGGTCATAAATGTTGGGTTGAATTTGTCATCCACAATCGTGAGAGATGATGTTAGGCAAGTTACTTCACACTGTGCTTTAGGTTTTAGTTTCTCAATCATAAAGTGAATGATTTATTAGTTCTTCATACTGTTGAAGAGTCAAGGAAAAACAGATCTATGAGCTCCAGACCAAGAGGTCTTCTATAGAGACTATTTGCCTCTCTGGGATCTACATGGACTTGTTAACCTATACCTACCAAGTGCTCAGTTCTCAGGCGACTGGAATAAGCGTATGTAAAAGGGGCCTATAAACGCAGCTCTGCTGACTCAATTCTGAGGGAGGCAAACTTCAACCACGCCCAGGTAACAACAGAAAATAATGGGAAGTATGGTGTTTAAAGCATGTTAACTTGTGAACTGGGCTTTCTACTGTCGTGGAGTAAGTTATTGCAACTTAAAGGCTTAAATGTAGAAGTTTCCATGAACCAAGAAGAGTCCATGTCAAGCATAGGTGGATTTTCTGCCTAGCGTTTAAACAGCAGTCAGGCCTACAATATTGCAAATTTTAGAACAAACTAGCAAAATATAACAACAATTAGTTAATATGCTCTTCAGCAATTACACATTAAAAATAATTCTGCAAATTGGAGCCCTCTGTATTATGGAGTTTTCTTAGTTATCCTTGGCTTACAATGAGTGTGGCAGTGTCACGATGTTTATCAGCCACGAATGTCGCTGACAGGTCTTCCAGCCACTGCCTCACTAATCACATGTTCAGTGACATGTGACATGGGTCAGAAGAAGACGCCTTTGCTCAAGCTTCTTATTCATACCAGGTTTACACTGACTGAATATTTTGCACTAAATATGAACTGACTACTCTCTAAGATACACAGAGACAGAATATTGTAAACATAATAATAAATAAATATTTTAAAAAAAAGAATAAGAGAGTTGTTTTAAACACATAATCTTCCCAGCAATGGGAAGTCACTTAACCCGGCCATCTTCACTTGTTACGAAATGAGATATGGGCAGGAAACCAAAGAGCCTAGCATGGACTCTAAGCACAGCAGGGATTCATTCAGATATTTTATTCCAGTTTTTTTCTTGCAGCCTATTTAATTTTACAGACATCATTTAATACCTCTTAGAGGAAATTTAAAAAAAAAATAAGTTCAGAAAATTATAGCTTAAATTTAAAAAAAGTTATAATTTGTTCATATTTCTGTTGAAGACATGTATAACAACATCATACACATGAATTCTAACAAATCTGAGTAAAAAAATCAGAATTGTGAGTAAGAGTAAGGATTCATTGCCTCCCAAAACGAGGAAGGATGAGGGGCAAAAGGACAAGAGGGGGAGAGAGAGAAATGACACTGTGGGGGGAGGGGAGAATGCTGAAGACAGAAAGGGGAAAGAAAGTAAAAATTCAGGAAGGGAAAATATAACAAATCACAGGAAATATTAAGAGGGGATGAAGAGGGGGAATCAGAATGATGATGAACATTAAAAACGAGAAGAGAAAACCATAGATATAAAAAATAAATAGAGATAACTATTACCTGAAGATGCTAATGTAAGTTTCTAAGGTCTGATTTCAACTACGTCAGAGGAACACAGGACTGGCCAGGAGAGGAGGCGGGAGTCAGGTCCCAAAGGGAGCGTGGCTACAGAGTTGGCAGGGATGACAACTCAGCGAGGAGACTGGTTAGTGGGAGGGATACGTCAAGCGAGACATTAACGGTGAACTAGATGAAGCTACTGGCAGCAAGAAGGGAAAATAAATTAGTTTTGAAAGCACTTTTGGACACAAAATCAATATTGCATCATTAACAGGTGACGAGAAGCTAGCAGTCGAGGTGACCCCTCTGTTCCCGGTGGCGGAGTATGGACCTGTGTTGCTCTCCTCTCCCATAACCCCCTCCCACCCCGCCCGGAAAATACTGAGAGCTGAGAATTAGCAAAAAGGAAAAAGTGAATATAGCTTGGGACACAAACTTGAGAGGCCCGAGAGATCTCTGAGTACAGATATAGGAGCTGAATGCAAGGGCGTGAGCTGATGTTGTCAATTATAAGAAGAAAACCTGAGACCCCTGGGACCGCTCACTGGGCAGGAGAGCACAGGAGCACAGGAACTGACAAGGGCTCATCCTCCTGCTCCCTGGGACTAAGCAGCAGGCAGGAGGAAAAGCACTAACAAATGAAACCATGGGGAGGGAGCCAGACTGCTGGGCGGGAAAGCCGACTAGTGTGATATAATTAATTAACTGTGCCTCAAATGAGGAAGAGGAAAGGACAGGTGCCGAAGGGAACGCAAAGGCCTCTGCTGCAGCCTCAGAAACCCCATGATGGCGGGTTGACTGCAATGATGGTGGAGGGGAAGAAGCAACCTCAGGATGGAGTGACGAGGATGGGAGCAGGGGATGGAGATGGGTACTGTGTGCAGAGGGTCGGAGAGGGTGCCTGCGGTAAGACGTCAACAATAACAGAATGACTAAAGAGTAAGGCAAAGAAAATGTCCCTCACAGGTAGGAAGTGTGGCCTCTAGAGCAGTTGTGGGGGGTGGCACAGACCCCTTACACAGTTCTGGGGCAATGAAGAGGGAGCTCGCCCCTGCTGAGGTCTACGAGAGATTTACCTCAGAGACTTGGAAGCTTTTCTGGGAAAATAAATAGCTCTAGATAGGAACAGCAGGGAACAACAAGCTAGTAAGGAGTGTAGTAAAAACAGGAACAGAACAGACGGGAGAGTTACTGAGCAGTACCAGCCCGCAGGCTGGAGAACTTTATCTCCCTCCACAGGACTTGGCAGCCCGGAAGCAGATAGGAGAAGAAAAAGGAGGAGGGTTTTCTGTCTCATGATTTCAAGTGTGTGCACACCTGTATACACACGTGTGAGGGCAGGCATCCGTGTGTGTGGTCAGAGGATAAGCTCTTCTTATTTGGGACAGGGTCTTCCAGCTGCCTGAACTTCACCGAACATGCCCAGCTAGCTAGCCAGCAAGGTCCAGGCATCTGCTTGTCTTTGCCTACCCAGAACTGGCATTACAGGTGTGTGTCACTGTGCTAGGCCTCCCTTCCCCGGGTTCTGGGGATCCAAACTCAGATTATCACACTCTCTAGGCCGTGTATTTTACCACCGATGCCACTCCTCCAGCCCCGGCAGGTGGTTCCCATCAGTACTCAAGTTTTTGTCTAGATGATGGCAAGGAACCTAAAGACTGGGCTTGGCAAACCTCCAATAGAGGGTCAGGTGGCAAATATTTTAGGCCTTGCGGTCCCTGTTACAAGTCCTCAGCTCTGCTTCTGTGAGGTAAAAGCAGCTTTCCACAAGGCACACACGAGTGCAGCTGTACTTACTGTGTATGAAAATCAGAACCAGGCGGTGGCTGGACTCCACCTGCCATGGTTCCTCAAGCCCAGACTTAGGATAAAGTAAAGATCTCTGAAAAGTCTGAATATTAGAGGGATGGATATGCTCTGACTCTGAAGAGTCAAAGAACTGGAGGCCAAAATGAGATTCATGTCAGACGTGAATGAACCAGAATACGGTGAGGATGAGCGCAGTCTACAGAACAAACCTTGGAGCCTATTTCACAAACGTCCACGGGGTCGTTATCTCCAGTACAGTTTGTATCCTTATCCTTCTGATATGGATCTTCCCAGGTCTAAAGAAACAAAACAAAAAACAAAATCAAAAACTGAGGCAGAAATGTAGGTTAGCACTCTCTGCGGTACATGCTAATCTTTCCCCGTGATCATGAAGTTTTATAGCTAGCCACGATTCAAAGGAAAAATTACCTAAAGTCACGCAGGCTCTGGGCTAACACAGCAGCACACTGCACGCCCACAAGCACCGTAATAATTAAGAGAGATTTGCAGCGCTTCCTCCTTCTGTCTAATTTGTCTGTCCTCACATCTGAAAGTGGGCGGTATTTCCAGAATATTCATCCTCCAAGCTTAGTCAGCGGCTGAATTCACATTCACAAATCTCAGAGTTTCACTGTTTCTCTCACTACCAACTGTCTCGTCTGTGGCTCCAGTCACTCGCTGCTCCATCTGACACGGTGGCAGCCTCTAGGCCTAGCTTTTCCTGTCTGAAATGAACTTCCTATTGGTTAAATGTCTCCACGGCTAGAAAGAGCTCTCCCCCAAGAAACAAAGGACAAGGTATGATTTACTCCAATGAAGAAAACCCCATTTTTGGTCTCATTTCCTGCCCTTAAAAAACTTCTCTACCTTTGTCACTAAATTTCAGGATCCTGACAAAAATCACACAAATAATTCAACCCTTCCTTCTACTGGAAAGATGATAACCCACTGACTACAAAATATATGTTACAGTTTTGGCAATGAATAATGTAATTGGAATTTGCCATCAATTTAAAAATCTCTCCAAGGCATTGTCTCCCTCTAGGAGCTTCTTAACTGCTTGACTCTGAATCAAATTATAGAAACTGACTACAATGATTTGTCTTAAACTGACATTAGAAGGGATGAGAAACTGCCAACTCAAGATTCAGCCACCGCTATTATCCTGGAATTTACATTATCCGAGTTTACTTTCTCTATTTTGTGTAGGTAACTAAAAATGCATACTTATTTACAGGCAACCCCAGAAAAACTTAAGACTTCTAGTCTTAATTATAATACATCTATTGATCCATCCTTATTTTAAAATAAGCAAAAAACAACAACAAAAAATCTGGTCCAGCAAGTTTGCCCAATACTAAAACTACTAAAAAACAAGAATAAAAACCATTACAATTGTTAACCTTATTATACACTGGCCATAGGTGACAGATACTTTCTAACACACACACACATGCTCACACACACATGTGCACACACGCACATGCACACTCACACAGAGCTTGTAAGGAGTACATCATTATTCACCTGATAGTACAAATCAACTGAAAAGGTCTACAGTGTCAAAGCTCACCCAGTTTCTGGGTAGCAGAGCCAGGGTTAGACTCCATAATGTGAGCCAGAACTTAAGATGCTCGCATTTCAGCGGCCACAGCGGATTCTGTCTCCTAGTTCCCCTCTGCTGCTCCTTACTCTCAGAATGGCTGTGCATTTCTGCACATTGCACATTCGTGCAATCCTGCAGCATCTCCGTTCTCCCCGGGTCCCCCCAGCAATGCTGCTCCTCTCCTATACTGACTACCAGACACTGGCATCCACTCACAAGGCTGGATACAGAATGTCCACTGTGGGCCAGGAGCAATATGAATAAGGCAGGCTCCCAACCAAGAGAGAGCTGCTAATAAATGGAGGAACATTTGTCTCAATGTGTGGGGGAACCAACATGGGATCACACTAAAACCCACGATCCTGACCATAAAGTTGGAAGTACCCCTGAGTTTTCTCTTCCCTAAGGCATGAGTCCCACTTCCATGCAGTTGAACCAGAAGTCACACTGGCCAAAAGAAGACAGCGACATACCAGTCCTGCCTCAGCCACAACAACTTTGACTGAGCATCCAGACCTCAGTTCCTTCAACTGTATAAGGAACGCCACAAATAAGATAATGCTTGGATACATCCCAGCCCTAGTCCCGATGTCTAGTGTTTATTCACATTCTCCATGCATACTACCAGTGACTAGGAAGCTCGTACTCATGGGATAACTTAGCCCATACTAAGCAACATTAATTTTAAGAAACTCTTTCCTTATATTGCCATCTTGTTTGTAGGCTGAGCCTGTATCAGCCGAGCCATCTCTACAGCCCTTGTCCCTTATACTGAGGCAAAAGCGTCTTCTCATAACATGCACGCGATATGGCTCTGGAGAATATTTTCCTATTTTTTAGACTTATTTGTTAATGTGTATGAAGGTTCTCATGCACACATATGTGCACCATATTTGTACCTGGTGGCTGTGGCAGCCAGAAGAGGGCACTGGATCCCTTAGAACTAGAGTTATGGATGACTAGGAACCACTGTGTGGACACTGGGAAGTGAACCTGGATCCTCTGCAAGAGCAATAGTGCTCCTAATCACTGGGCCATCTCGCCAGCCCTTTGGTGAATCTTTCTGACTGAATTCACCCTCACTTCCAATGTCATCTAGAAATTTAATTTCTAATGCTGAGGAATTAAAAATATAATGAAATATTCTTAAGCTGTTCAATACTGTGACTTTTCAGGCCATTTCTTCTTCTGTATGATGTTCTATATCAGAAAAAAACAAAACAAAACAAAACACGGACTGGTTCCTTCCCTATTTCTGCCTTTAGCATTTCACCTCTTCAAGCTTCAGTTGTATTCCAAGGTTTTTACCTTGAATTAAGTAATGTCACTTTTAACTAGAAAATACAGTGTAATTTCAACAGGCGAGGAAACCTTCAACTATGTAAAAATTTGAGAATGCCCTCTAGTGGAAATTTAGGTGAATAACAGGACAGAGAAAAGAAAAAGCTCAGACGGGTGAAAAAGGATCAAGAAGAGAACATTCAAACTCAACTAAGAAAAAAGGCAAACGGGACAAATGGGCTAAATACACAAACAGGTAATTTGAGGAGAAAAAAATAGATACAGATGATTTATACATTTAAGAAAAGCTAATGATGTGAGAACCACAAATTAAAAGTACATTCCAACACAATTTCTCTAAGAATTTACAGATCTGATAACTCAGAATACTAGACAGGCTACAGGCCACCTGGAACCCTATATGATGCTTGTAAGAGTGTAAATTGTAATAACTTCTAATATGACTAATTGAAGAATATTTAATAAAGCAGGATGGGTATATAACTCACAATCTGACTCATAAATATCCCTCTAGTACAATGGTTCTCAACCTTCCTAATGCTGCGACCCTTTAATGCAATTCCTCATGCTGTGGGGATCCCCAATCATAAAATTAGTTCTGTTGCTACTCCATAACTTAATATTGCTATTGTTATGAATCATAATGTTAACGTCTATGTTTTGTGATGGCCTTAGGTGACCCCTGTGAGAACCACTGCCCGAACCAGTAGATAATCTAAAGATACAAAGTCTTAGTATGGAACCAAGAAAAGAATAACCAAGACCTACAAACAACCTAGCAAGAAATGATTATAAACCTACAAATATGAATTCAGAATAAATATTGATATGGCCTAAAACAAATCCTATCTTTGTACAAGAATTGGAGATCATTACTTTACAATCTATATCAACCAATATGCTTGTAATCGCCACACTCTGGTCCTTGGGTCTCCTAGAAAATCACTGAAAATGAGAAAAAACAGCTGTCCCCATGGGCGGGTGTTGACAAGTTCTTCCTGATCATCTAAGGTTCTTAGTTCCACATCCCAACCTGCATCAAAACAGATCAAACTGCCTGACAGTCTGCCGCCTTTGTCCTCAGCAGCTACATCAGTGGCAAGAACGCACTGATGAGCTAACAGTACTGAGAACTAACTAGAGAGCCTCCCGTAGACCACCTCCTTTCTTACAGTAGCCTTTCCAGGCAGGAGCCAAGACCATACAGATGAACAAACAGGCCTCTTCGGCTCTAAACCTAACAACTAACACCATCTAATGCTTGTGGCCAATGACTCAAATTTGTAATGAAGTTTAAAATAATAAACATGCCAATATTATGTTCAGACTGAAGGCTGAATTGTAAAGTGAGACTAATTCCTTGATATTATTTAGGCAAGTGTTCTAAATGTGCTCTCAGAGAAAGGGATTGCTGGAATGACCCCGTTAAACGTGGGCAAACTTAAATGTAAGTGGAAAGATGATCGTCCTTCAAATCAGAGTCAAAGTCACAGGAAAGCCCTGTGTGTGAGAACACAGACGCTAAAGGCCTGAGATGATGATGTCATACTGATGACTCATCAACGAGTCACAGGCTCATCAATATCATTTCTACTTAGCATTCTGCTGCTTAATTGTCCTATCAAGCAGTTGGCTTGGTAACTAACTGTTCTCAACAAATTTCCTGCTTGACCAAGATAAAACATTGGTGACCAAATAAACTTCATGTTCATCTGTGCTGGATTGGCTGAGAGGAAGGAGCCTCGGTTGAGGAAATGCTTCCATGAGATGCAGCTGTCAGGCATTTTCTCAATCACTGATGAATGGACGTTGGTGGACCCAGCCCACGGTGAGTTGTGCTATCCCTGGGCTGGCAGGCCTGGGTTCTATAAAAAAGCAGGCTGAACCTGCAGCCACAGTATGGTGTCGTCAGGTCCTGGGTTGCTGCCAAGGGCCAAGACCCTACTGCAGTTGCAGTCCGGGTTGGTGTCCATGGCTCCTGTTACCACTGAAGACGGCGAGGATGGGGCTGCAGAGTTGGCTCTGCCCCTCACTGGCTGTTTCCCTTCACCAGCTGCGCCACACTCAGGAGAGCGGACCCTACACCTCACCTGGGCAAAACAGTAGAGCTGTCTCTGTGAGCAGGGGTGTGGATGAGCCAGCCCTGAAGGCAGGAGAGTGGGAGAACGAGCCGCTGTCTGTCACGAGGTAGCATGGACAAGAGAGAGATACTGCCCTCACACACAGCCAGAGCGGCACAAAAATGCACCTGTTCTTACACAGAAAACCACAGAGGTTCTTTCATTTTCTGTCATCATCTCACACCCCTTCCCTTCTCATTAGCAGATCTCTGTTTGGTTCATTTGCTAATTTTAGCGGGGGTGGGTGGGGGTGTAAGTTTGAGACGGGCCTTACTATATATAACCTGGGCCAGCTCAAACTGGCAATAATCCTCTTGCCTCAGCCTCCGAAATGCTGAGATTTCAGGTATGGGCTACCATGCCCAGCTTTGCTTTATTATTATTTTTAATAAAATAAATAGAATCAACAGACACACAAAGGATCCTGGTCAAGGTCACACTGCTGGTGTGACAGCCAGGCTCTCAAGGCCACCCACTCAGTCACCCATCACTCTGCTGGGCCACCTCACGCCTACTTCTCCTCTTTTCACACCTGTGAGTCCTAGCACGTCACCCCTAAGAAGTGGCTGAAGAAATGAAGAGTAGTCTACTCCCAAGTGCTCAACTCAGCCCGCCTCTGTTTCTGCCGCTGATTGGTGGCTTCTCTGGCCTCCTTTCACACATCATCCTCCCCACAATCCCCTAAATGCGACAAAACTGTTTCTAACCTTTCCTGTTAAGCCCAACAGAATCATCTGAGTAGGAATCTAAGAAGTTAAGACAACTGCCGGGACGGTGTGAACATACACTCTGGTTTCTAACTGTCATTTCAAGAGGGCCAGCTTTAACTAAGAGTGACCCCAGTGGGCGGTCTAGTGATCTCAAAGGGAAACTGGCTCCCAAAAGAACAACTTTCCTTTCTTCTCATGGGAGGGTTTATCTAACTGAACATCTGTGTTTCTCAGCTGTCCTTTTCCTACACAGTCCTTCATGTAAATTTTCATATAATTAAAAATTAATACATAAAATTACAACAATTAAATTTCCACACAGCTGATGACTAAATGGGGTTTATGATCATAAAGAAAAAAAATGCTTCTCTAGGACTCCAAAACCCAGACTTTGGGTCAGACATACTGAGTTTTACTCACTAAACAACCAGGGAGAGCATGAGGGAACTGAGAGGTAAAGACAAAGATGGCAGCGTGGTTCTGCATCAGGAATGAGGTCTTGGCATCACACAGGCCTTGACCTCCTTGTTTTTCCCTTCACAATCCTAGACTTCTAACATTGAGTTCTGTAAGCAATGTAATTCAACTTACCTGTTAGATTTATTAAAAATAAAACACATCCTGTCATATAGAAACATATATAAAAGCATATGAAAGGGTTGGTGAGATAAAGATTTGCTGAGGGTTTTTCAGACAACGGCTCAGCCCACAAGAGAGATGCACTCGAAGGTCAACTGTCAACCTTCTACATCCCCGGCTCTAAGAACCTGAGTAAAGACTACATACATGGTTTGAAGTAAAGTTTACTGAAACAATCGAATGCCACATTAAAGGATTTAAATTCACAAATCTCGAAACTGGTATGTTCTAGGAACTACTTTAAATCCGGGGAGTTCACAGGCTTTACCATGTGATGTCTTTAGAAGACATAAACGCCGAGCATTGTAACAGGAATGTTACCTGAGGGAAGGCCCCGTAATTCCATATATAGCCCTTGTGAGGGAAGATATTTGGTATAAAGCGTAGCTTTCCGCTCTTTACATCTTGCTTAATGGGATTCATTGGCTCCTCGGTGGAAATCTAGGCAGATCACAAGGGAAGGCAGGGAGGGGGGCGAAATGATTAGCCCTGTGTACAATGAACAGATTTTACATCTACCATAGCACAACCAAACATTCACATCCCAACTTAATGATCAAAGGCTTTAACGTGAATTAAGTCAATTCTTATTACCAATTACCAAGTATCATGTCTGGGAAGAAGATACCTGATTACATATTTAGGCTCAAATTATTTGCACACTACATTGTTTCTAACAAAAACAGTAAGATGAATGGAAAGACAGGAGGGTAAAAGTTAATATTATTGCTGGCATTGCTGCTAATCTTGGGGCTTTTACTGTCAATAGTCTTATGACATTGTAGTTAACTCAAAGGTGTTTACCTAGATGGTGAACATCTAGAAAGATGGCCTCCAGGTTAAGGGAGCTTGCTCTCCAATTCTATGAACCAGAGTTAAGATACCAAGCCATGCAATAAGTCAGTTCTGTAAAAACACTGAGAATTCAGCTCTGTGTACAGTGAAGACAGGAAGACCACTGGGGTTTGCTGACTCCCAGTGTAAAGGAGACACCACCTCAGGGCACACGTGGGAAATGATAGAGTGGTACACCCAACACCCTCTCTGTCCTCTGTAGCTCCTGCACTCTGACACCCAAGGACATGGACACACGGACACACACACAGACACACACAGGAATGCACGTGTGCACACACCCTCACAGGCATGCATGCAAACAAGATGGAAAGCTTTTCGGATAGACATGACATGAGTCAAGGATTGTGGTCTTGCCACTTTGATTCAGCATGATGTTGGAGGTCCTTGCCAGAATAGTTAGGCAAGGGGGACAAAAAAGGACATCCAAAGAGGAAAAGAAGGACAAAAATCGTCAGTGCTTAATGGCAATATAAATAATACAAATATGTATGTAGAAAGCACTGAAGGTTTTACATACACACACACACACACACACACACACAAAGAGAGAGATAGAGAGAGAGAGATATTACTAAATGAATATAGTAAATTTGCAGGATATAAAACTAATACAGAAACCCCACAGCATTTCTGTATACCACCAATGAACTGTTCACAGCAGAAATAGAGACTATTCTATTTACAATAAAACAATATAACTCAGAGCACTTGGGAATAAACTTAATGGAGGAAGAAAAAGATTTGTTTCTACTGAAAACTGTAAGTTGATGATGGAAAAAAATCAAAGGAGACACAAATAAAGGGAAAGACATCCAGCACTGGCTTGAAGGAGCATGATTCTGGGTCACTGCCATGCACAGTGAAGGCCCAAAGTCATTTAAAAAGAACAGAAATAGGAACAGCAAACCTTGAGGTTTCCATGGAAACACACACACACACAAATCATAAACAGCTATTGCAAATATGAACAAAAAGAAAAAGCAGCACACTATTGATTCCCAACCACACTACAAAGCCACAGTAACACAGTCAGATGGAATCTGCAAAAGCCAAGCTCAGACACACAGACAGGAGGGACTGAGTCCAAGCGATTTTCAGCAGAGGGCCCGGTCACACACAACAGGAAAAGAGCACTCTCCTTAAGAAACTGCCCTGGGCAAACAGAACAAGCATATGTGTGGGGAAACCACAGGAAAATGGACTCCTGAGATATGAGGCACAAGCCGCAAAACCGCTACCAAAAAAACAGGAGAAAAAGGACAAACTGGACAACTGTTGGGATCTGACCACAAAACCACAGGCAATATAAGCAAAAGGAGACAAATTAAATGATTTCTGCAGAGCAAGGGAAACAACAGAATAAAGACACGATATACATTGTGGGAGAAAATGTGTTTCAAATCGTGTATCTGACAAGGGTTTAAAAGTCAAAATATATAAAAAACTAAATATAATAGCTAAACAGAAAAACAAAAACTACAATTAATTGGGCCGTAGATGTATTTATCAAGAAGATACACAAATGATCAATGAGAATAAGAAAAAGAAACACAGTCAGCATAACTATCAGGAATATTCTAGTCAAAACAATAATGAGGAGGTCAGTAAGACGGGTCGGACAGTGAAGGCATGTGATGCTGAAGCCTAAGTTTGGGTACCAGGTACATCACACCGTGCAGGGGAAGAACCAACTCCCAAAGGTTGTCTAACCATTTACACACACACAAATGCTTAATAACAACAACAAAATACCACAGTGGGGGTTCACCTCACTCTAGTAAGAGAGACTATTGCCAGAAAGACTACAGATACCACGTGCTAGTAGAGAAACGGAGAAGGAAAGCCTTGTAACTGTTGACAGAGGAAAGCTTTGTACACTGTTGAGGAAGTCTAGTCTTGCACACAGCTGAGGGAATAGAAATTAGGACAGCCATCTTGGAAAACAGCATCAAAGTTCTCTGGGAAACTGAAAACAGAACTGACCAAGCAAGCATTCCAAATACACAGCCAAAGGAGAGGACGTTAGTAGGCTAACTCGGCACCTCGCTGTTCACAACAGCAAGGGATGGACACAGGCCTCACAAACTGACGAGTGGACAAAGAAAACAGGCTGCGCAGTTGATCTCTGAGAGCTGGAGAGCCAAAAAGTGGCCACCAAAGGCGCAAGAGAGCAGGAGGCGAGAAAGGATGGAGAAGCTTGGCCTGTGGGTAGAGGAGCGAGAGGCTCTGGTGCCATCTGCAGTGTGGGGACAACTGCCAACAACACCGTGTGTTTCAAAAGGTAAAAGGGACCTGGAGAGTGGCCACTGTGGAAATGATGCATTTTTACATACAGATGAGTTTAACATGATTCAAACATATATCTATCTACTTAAGCATAACATGGCATCATGATTATGTTTTTATGTTATAGTTAATAATTAGGCCGGGCGGTGGTGGCGCACGCCTTTAATCCCAGCACTCGGGAGGCAGAGGCAGGCGGATCTCTGTGAGTTCGAGGCCAGCCTGGTCTACAAGAGCTAGTTCCAGGACAGGAACCAAAAGCTACGGAGAAACCCTGTCTCGAAAAAAAAAAAAATTAAATAGAATTAAAATAAATTTTAAACACAGAACAAAATAATAATGTAAATCAACGAGTATACAAGTTTTAAACAATAGTTTGTTGTGTTTCATTTTGAGACCTGCTGTGCAAGGTGGTGAACACATTTACTAGTGTATTATACATTTCAGAACTGCAAAGGAAGTAAAAATTTCATATGGCCTCACCAGAGACTTCAGATTATATGTTCACTTAACTTAATTTTTATGTTATATTCATAAATCACTTTTGTACTCTGCAAATATATATTGCTCATTTACAGTAATTTTTTTAAAAACCAGGCTCAGATCTTTGTCAAGTGACTCCATTTTAGAGCAATTTTCTGTCAAACATATATTCACATTAGTATTGAAAAAGGACAAAAACCAATCTGATATAAAATAAACAAACTAAACAGTGAAGTAAAGAAACCAAGCACCCACTTGAGAATTTACTCCAAACTGTAAAGGACCCATCTGATGGGAGAAGACAGCGAACATGGACATGAAGAGGGATTCTCGACAGCTTTGTCTTCCAGGGAAATGATTAAAATAAAGTTTTTAAAAAGACTTAACAAGGGCAGAAGTAGGTGCTCTCAGATAAGATCCACAAACTCGGGAGAAGGCACTGTTCCCAGGCAACATAAAACTCTAAAGGACTAAGTCCCCAGAAACTGAAACTGCCACCAGCGCCAAAGTGTTTCGTTTGTGTCTGTGAACCCAAAACAGAGCACAGTCTGAGTGAGACTTGAAAGTGTTCACAATCGTGTCAAGGAAGGGCAAAGAAAATTATATGAATGCGTGCCTAAAAAACGGGGAAACACTCTTTAAAGTGAATCTGCAGTTCAAACCATTTTCTTCTTAAAATTAAGGTCTGTCTGGGTTCACAAGAATATTTTAAATTATCTCCTACAAAGAGAAGTCTTTCAACCCTCCTTCAAATACACCAAGGTGGAAAAGATGCTTTCATATAATTAAGTTAGCATTTCAATTTTGAGCTAATAGAATATATCTGTACCTCCATTTTGGCATTTGTCCACCGAGGTATTTCCACAACCATATTAAACAAATTCTGTTGAAAAAAAAGAAACAGAATATTAACATATTTCTTCACCTTTTATTTTATTTTCATGTGGCACTGGGGACTGCATGCTTGTATGTTAAATGAAATCAGCACAGCCTCTGAAGAGAGACTAGCACAAGCTTCCATCCCACAGAAAAACTGCTTAGTGCCTGCCTTCTACATCCACCCATCCGCCCATGCTAGAAACCCCTTCTTACAGTTAGAGAGACCACCTAACCCTCAGAGCTGCCACACATCTGGCCACCGCTGCACAGCACGGAAGGGCACTGAACATCTGGAAGCACTTTTCAGAGCAGCGACGACACTGGGAGTCAGGAGACAAGCTCTCTCTCATTTATCTGATTTGAGGCCGAGACTTACCATGTAACTCTGGCTAGCCTAGAACTTGATATCCAGGCTGGCCTTAAATAGACAGGGATCTACCTGCCTCTGTCACCGAAGTATGAGGATTAATGACATACACCACCACACCCGGCAGAAAATGAGTTTTGATAGTTATTGTCCAGCTAAAATAGTACAACCCACCTCTTCAGCTCTACTCATGGCAATGTGGTTAAAATATTGTTATGTGATTTACAGGAATGCATACAGAAAGTTAAGTAGTCAAAATGTTGAAAATGATTAAAAGAATATTTGTATACATGCTATGATCATAACATAAAAATCAAAGATATCTCTATAGGCAGTTAGAAAGTATACAAGGAGTTAGACATGCCTTTCTAAAACGAGGCTAGTGATTTCAGATTCCTTAACTTTACAAAGGAACATGGCTTCTTTTTTCACTGCTTAACTAGGTCAGCGGTAGGTAATACAATTCCCACAGCCTTCCTCACAAAGAGAAAGTCTTACTGTTTAAAGGTGGCTTACAAAAAGGTAAGGATACTATGTTTACATCAATAATGAGTCATGGCTCCTGGGGAAACAATGGTTTAAAACACCACCAGTCAAAGCAGGGCCCAGGGCCCAGACCAGCCGTCATTTAGACACACATGTAGTTAACTGACAATACTCTGTATATCTACTGAATCTGATAATAATAAAAAAAAAGGGCATTGTAAATGTGTCCATCCACAAGATACTCCCACATCCCACACAGAAGGCTTGGGGACAACCACAGATGAGCAAACAGGAAGACTGGAAGCAGCAGAGAATCGGGGAGCTTGCTATGTGATGCTGTCTCCTAGTAATGTTAGAAGCTACACACATATAAAGTCTCACCAATATAACCACCCAAATGTGAGCTGAACAAGAGCTACACCAATGGATATAGCAAAGAGGTGGGGGGGGGGGGGCGGGTACCACAAAGCCTCAACCCTACACAAAGAACTACAGGCAAACAAGAAAAGCTGGGGACAGGACAGGTGTCCCTTCCCAGGGAAGAGCACACCAATTGGTTGTCCAATGTCAAATGGTAAGCCCTGAACACAAACACACATGTAATATTTAGATGGACGGATCAGGTTATATTTAGAATTATGCATGGATATACATATACACAGATGTATTCAATAGCAATTAATGAAAGAAGAGGCAAAACTTTGAAGTGGGAGTGTGGAATAAAATTAAGGGAGGGTTTGGAGGAAGAAAAAGGGAGTAAGAAACGTTAACTATACTCTCAAAAATTAACAAAGGGGTAAAAATAATTAGAGCTTGAATTATACATGTCCTCATTCATTTTGAGTGTGTTTTTTAAAAGTATCCAGCTACAATGGATACAAACAAAAAGATAGTCTTGTACTACAGAATATTAGGAAAGTAAAAGTTTAATATACCTCCCCACACACATATATAAATCACTGGCTGAGCTTTAACAAACAAACCCACAAAAACAAAACCATGAAAGACTCCTTAGGGCCCCACTGCCCACCTTTTCAATTCGACTGGTCTGGGGTGAAGCCAGGGAATTGCTAACTTTTAAAAGTTCTCTGAGGAATTTGAATATAAAGTCCTAGCAGGATAATATTAGAGCATTGCTCGCCCACATTCTGGGACTTTCTTGGAGAAACATCAGTGCTACTAACTCAAAGAATGCCACTTAGCAGCCACAGCTTTTTTGTTAGAATTTTCTAGAGAAGGCAAGGGTTTTTTGAAAGGTAAGCATGAGGTAAACAAAGCTGAGCAGGACACCTGACACCTGCAGGACGACCTCACACCGCTGCTCTGTCTCCTCCCCTATGCTCCTTCATGAGAGACCCGTGTACCTGTTTAAACATGAAAGAGCAAAGCCTAAGTCTATAGCTGATGTATACACAATTCATTCATCTTTGCAAGCCTGGCTATAAGAGAACAAACACAGATGGACGAATACAAGCTGATGACAGAGGGGACCAGGCTAGTTAACGGCTGCACAGCGACACCGCCAAAGCCTCTTGCACAGATCTGAACGGGGCCCAGAGAGCAAAAGATGAGGAACCGGCCTGAAACCTTAGCTTGCAAGCCTCGCTCTCGGTCACCATTAGCACTTGATGACCAGGGGCTCACGCTCCCTCGCCCTTCTTCTCTCCCGCTGCAGTGTGCTCTGGCTGGAGCTGATCAAAGCCAGTACCAGTCTTATTTTCCTAAGATTAGCTTTAGTAATAAAGCAACAATTGCCTACCAGCATTTATCGGAAAATCAAAGATATATATTTCAAATGAGAAAAGTGGCAGGAAAATCTAACCCATCTTTTTGTCCTTTTCTTTTTTATTTTTCCCCGTGGGGGGGATAAGATAATAGGTAAATATAAATCAGTCCCCAACATATAATCTTTGTTACAAGCATTAAATTTTGAGATGACACTCAGAACTTGGAATATATCTTTCTCCATTGGAAAGGGGGTTTCAGACTAAAATACCACATCTCTGGGAACTACAAAGCCGCGCATGCGCGCATGCTGCCTCCAGTGGAGAGCAGGGCTTCTTCATCACACTGGAAGTGTGCTTGCTAAGACACAGACTGACCAAACCCCCATCGAGCAGAGACTCTGATCAGTAGAGACAGAGAAGGATCCAGAATCTAAATTTTCAAGAAGCACTACAAGGGGTTCCAGTGTGGACAGTTCATCTGACGGCTGTTTTAGCAAAACAAGCTGGACGGCAGGCCATCGCTATAGGAATTTACCAGCTACGCAGGAAAGTGGACTCAAAGGCTGGGGACAATAATCTCAGCTACTGGAATAAGACCACAGAGGCCAAGGGTAGCAAGGAAACCGTCACCTGGAGCAAGAGATGAGCAAAGAGCCAATCAAATGCTTTGGTCCTAAGTGGTAAAATAGAGCTACTGGAACTTGTTCTTCTGCTTCCAAACAACTGCTGTGCCTTGATTCTAAAAGATGGCTCAGTGGGAAAGGGCACACTTACATACATGTTAGAAAAGGATAAAGCGCCTCTGAAGCTACAGTCTCTGTTTTGATCTAAAAAGCAAACAAACTGGGGCAGGAAAGATGGCTCAGTGGGAAAGGGCACACTTACATACATGTTAGAAAAGGATAAAAAAGTAAATTTTATGTTACGAATAGTTTAACACAATAAAAAGGATTAAACGATGCTATTGCCCCAGATGCCTTAAAGAGATGCTAGGAGAAAAACAGCAGGATCTACATGGAAGTCTTGCAGGGGGAGAATTAGAAGCAGTTTAGAAATACAAACTATCACCAAGGTCATTGACAGACAGTTTGAAAGTGACTCAAGAGACTGGAAAAATAGCTCTGTAGTTAAAAGTCTTGCTGTTGTCCCAGAGGACCCAAGTGGGGTTCTGAGCACCCAAGCCAGATGGCTCACAGCCACAGAAAGTGCCATCTGAACAGGATCTGGCATCCTCTCTGGCCCCTACGCGTACCCACCTGCATGCGTGTGCACATACAGACACAAACACACACACATGCATACAATAAAATTTTAAAAATGATTCTGGCAATGAAAACTTCAAAAGATACCTTATATTCATCATTTCGTGCTTTCTTTCTGGGAGTGCCATTTTCCTGTAAGAGCAAAGATGGTAATTATGATTGGAACATCTCATAAAAGAATGCAGGGTGCAGAGCCCAGCAACAAAAACCTGCGTACTGCCTACAAGTCCTACTTTCTGCTGTCCAGAAATCGGACTGAGCAGACAACCTGCCAGTAACCCTGTCCCTCAGCACCACGCCCAGCCTCGAACGAACAGAGGACCAAAATGTTTTAACAATAACTTATCCGAAAATCCAGAGCTCTTTCATGGCGCTTCCCAAGTCTGCCTGATGCAAGCACAGACCCTGCCGAGTGTGTAGGGGGAGCCTGACGTGTTCCAGTGACTGCGCCTCCAACAGTCATTTCATTATCGGAATGAAACTCCCGGGAGCTTGGCTAACAAGCTGTGAAAGTGCTTGGCTGTACCTCCTGCCTGGGAATTCTATCAAGGTGTGATTACTAGGCCCCCACTAAGACTGCGTGGTGGGAAAAAAGACTATGCCAGTAACAAACGTTCACTGTGTGTATGCAGCACACACCAAGATGACTGCTAAGGAAGAAGCAACATAAAGAGACAATGATGATTCCAAGTCACGCTGTCCTGAAACACTGTTCTTCTTCTGAAAACTCTACATCCCAAGATACAAGGTGCAAAAATCCTAACCATGATTGGCTCCAAAGTAGGGAAACCTGTGTGTCTCCATCTTTGCCCTTCTGGAACTCACTGGCCTTTGGCCTTATACTGTGTCCTGCCTCATCCTCAAATCCCATAGGCAGAACATCACAGCCACAGATGTGTGGTATTGTTATGAGAGATACACATTTGCTACGGCGAACCCCAGATGAGACACTACATATCCGGCCATTCCTCTTCCTACATTCTCCTTTCCGGTATGCAACACTATCTGACTGACTCCTGCTGTGGCTGTCTGTGTCCTCCCACTGAGTGGGACCGACATCTGGCTTCTTCACCATTGCACACCCAGGGCCACAAACAGCCTGTGGCAGAGAATAAGCGTGCAAGGCTTATATTTATCAAATGGATAAACAAACGCAAGCACACTTTTGGTGTTGGGAAGGCGAGAGGAATTTGATAGTTCACAACTCCCTGAACTTCTGATGCAACAGACTGAACACTAGATCTAAACTTAAGCCCATCTCACAACAGTTGACATTTGAGACCAAGGGACCTCGGCAAGAAGGAAGTTAGTAACAGTAGGCGCCATCAGAATTACAACAACACGTGGCAAACAGTGAGCAATTGCCTAGAGGCTCCCAAACTTCAGGCCCCTCATCTCCCCCTTCAGCAGTGGTTCTCACAGCCCCACTTCACCAACATCCTTCCGACTGTCAAGTGGTTTTCCAGAGAAAAGCTCATGAAACACGAGGTTTTTCCAGATTTACAGTTCTGTCTCATGGAGTGGTAACGGGTAGGACCTCTGTGGTCAGGAAGGCCAGATCCAGACTTGGCTCTGGCATCTGCCAGCAGTGCACTGCTGTGTAAACCAAGGCAATGCCTGCTGCCTCACGGCCCTTGGACGACTTCTGGCAACTTAGTATGGGATAAAGAAAATAAAATGCTCACATAGTGGCTAGCACACAGAAGTCACCCGCAAACATTAACTGTTTTATGATTCAAAATAAGCAGGTTAATTTCCCACATCACTACTCTTGAATCTTCGTTTCCACCAAAGTCTAAACTTCATAGACCGCAAATAGCCCCCTTTCCCTAGCTTCTCACAAAGTTTAATTCACAAAAGAAGCTTACAGCCCTGATCCAGCTCCTTGGTTTCTCCTCCTGCCAGCCCAGCACATCTCTACTTTCAGGACATTTCTCCACGGGAATTTTCAGGCCAAAAGTGGAGCATCATTTTCGTCCTCTCATGTACAAGAAGTTTTCCAACCCCCAAACAAGTAAAAATGATACCTTAGGAGAATCCACCTTCAGAGGAATGTCATGGAAAGCGGAAATGTAGTGACCAGCTACACTCTCTGCAAAGGGAAAAGCAACAGAATTACAGCCGTGCACACCTGCTCTGTATAGCAGTAAGGTCCTGATCTACTGTGGAACCTGTATGCTTTTAGCAATGCTAACTTTACACCTCAAAATTTTAAGTCAACTTTGAAAACTTGGTCTAGCCTGAAGAGAAAAAAATAAATGCCAATTACCCACACTCAGTTGCTGAAATCATTTAATTCAATATTGTGCTTGGCTTCAAATACCTGGTGTAGAAAATAAAACTCCAAGTAGGAGACATCTGACTGTGGAAAAGAGACTCATTGGTAAGTGAATTAGCCTAAACTGATAGTCATTTCCTTAGGAGAAAACCAACAGTATAGTCCACAGCTTCCACCTACAACCCATAGGAAGAAAGGGCCAGCTCAAATAACGAATAAAATGATCACAAAACAGCTGACTGAACAACACATATCTAAGTTCTGAGTTGAGCTCACTAAAAGCAGAGGTGTACAACTTAGCAATGATGCTATCATATTAAACTGCAACTCCCTCCTCTGCCCTCCAGGCCAGGAGCACTCAGCACCAGGCTAAATTCCGAGGGAAAGGGTTTTTGTCTGCTCTTGGTTTTGTCTGTTTTGTTATACTTTCTAGCATCTAGCTGGCATTCAGTAGTTATCAAATAAAAAACACGTTACCATTCCACTTCTCCCCCTTTCCAAGCGCCCCAGGCACCAAGGTACCTCTCGCAAGAGCGGGACGGGAAAGAGAACACTCAGTGTTTGCTGGGGGTTGTGTTGTTTTTGCTTTTCTGACGCTGGTGTTTTCCGTGCAGCATATATGTATACCATGTGCGTTCTTGGTGCCTGCAGAGCCCAGCAGAGGGCGTCAGATCCCCTGAACTGGAGTTATGGATACTTGTGAGCTACCAAATGAGTGCTGAGAAGTAAACCTGGGTCCTCTGCAAGAGCAACAAGTGTTTCTAACCAATGAGCCATCTCCCCACCACCCCATTAATGTTAAAATAGTCAAATTCTCATGTTTTTGATTTCTGCTTTTCCTGTTTACTAGGTCTCCTTACATTAATCCATTTGGTAGTTATTCACAGAACACATGTGCTTTTCCAAACACCATTCTATGTGCCAGGAATACACACTCTAATTTCCTGGTCTTGTGCACATTATATTTTAGCGGGAGACAGATGTGATGAATATGTATAAGCTATAGCAGGAAGGGCAAGCACTAGAAAGCACATCAGGGCAAGGAAAGAGAGGATGCTGGTGACTTTGGACGGCCAGTAGGTGTCTCTCACACAAGCAGTGCACCAGCAACAGCCTGGAGGAAGCAAGGAAGAGAACATCACAGATGAGATGATGGGAAACACCAAGGAAGCCAGCCAGGCAGGGATGCAACAATCGAAGGCAAAAGGACAATTGGCAGTGAAGTGAGGGGCAATAGCTGTGGTCACTAATTTTCGCATCTGTTTAGAAAGAACCGTGCATCCTAGCTTAGTTTCTCAATTCCTTTTGAGTAAAACAGCAAGAACACTTTTACTTGAACTGAGATTTTTAGAAGGGACTACGTATCGTTGGTACATAAAGCAGGCCAAAGGGAAGGAATCAGGAGGCTTCTGCAACCGCCCAGCTGCAGTGGATGGTGGCATGGGTGACGTGGCAAGGATGGAGGTGATCAGGAAAAAAATATTCTAGGTGCATTTCAAAAGCTGAGCCGATATGTCCGAAGTGGATATGATATGATTGGCCCAGACGTGGGACAAAGGGAAGAGAAGGAACATGTAGGTTATAGGGGAAGGAGAGTGGAGAGGTTAGCTAAAGACACATCACTGCAGTTACACCAGGCACCACAGAACACTAGTGACCACAGCTAAGAAAATGGAGCACATACTTCCCGACATCTAGACAAGAGGCTTCCAGTGTTCTTGCTACAAACAAATAATAAATATTTGAGGCAATGAATATGCTAATTTCATTTACTTGATCAAAACAGATAAACATGCTAAGCATAGGCAAGTGACCAAGATTTCATGTGTGGCCAATGTAATATGCTCTATGTAAAGGAGAAATATAGGGTGTGAAGGTGGCCGTGGGAATCCTGTCTTCAAAACTTGAGACTAAGGGTGCAAGCCTAGGACTTACAGATGACCCCTACACTGAGGCACATAGTAGGTCCACCCAGAGCCATAGCATAGTCTGTTAACACTGGCTGCCGATGGCTGCGTGCCAAAATGCAGCGCTGGGCAGTTGTGACAGAGATGGGTAGTTTACGTGGCCTAAAATAGCTCCCTCTGGTCCTTTACCAACTCCTGGGGAGAAAGACAGTGTAGAGACATGGGCTAAGCATTGACTCCTGAGGCTTTCAAAGGTCAGTTCAGAAATAAGAACTAGGGTCATACAAAGGACAATATAAAGAAAGTTATCAAAATACCTGTTACCAGTTTTGAGAGTCTCATTCTCATTCTCTCTCTCTCTCTCTCTCTCTCTCTCTCTCTCTCTCTCTGTCTCTCTCTCTCTCTCTCCATCTATCTCAGTGTGCCCACAAAGCCCAAAGCTCTATAAAACAGCTTAGCATCCTCCTAACTCCACCCCTCTGACATACTCACTTAAGCTACCTCATCACAGACACACGTCTCTGGGAAAAACAACGCTGTGCACTCTAGAGCTCTGGAGGCTTCTCTGTTGTCTACCAACTGCTCTTTCTTGCTATGACTTTAATATGGTGTTTATGAGGAAGCCGACAAGATCTATGGCCGCAGCTACCACATTTGGTCTTGGTGCCGGGCAGGCTGCAGCCCTAGACAAAACAAATGAATCCCATCGGGCTTGTCAGTGTGCCAGGCCTTCCAGCCTCACAAGTTCCCCTCCGACGGCTCTAGAACTATTATTCATCTTATTATTCTGGAAGTTTCTACGGTTTTGCTGCCTCTGTTGCTGAAAATGTACTTGCAATTGAGAAAACCAAATAGACTGTGGGACCCTTACCGAATACTGATAACATTATGATATTATATAACACAATTTCTATAACATGTGATAGAATTATGTAATATATTATGCATGCCTTATAATTATATATCATAACATTATGCTTTATTATAACATTTATATACCAAATAGCTATATTCATACCAAACACCAACATACACAATATCACTGACCCATTTACAGAGATTCTCACTGGAAGCTTAATAACAAATAAAACAGAAATGAATTTTGCATTACTTTTAATAAGATTAAAAAACTTGAAAGATGAGTTTCAATGAAAATATACCCTCTTCTTCACATACATCGCACGATTTCTATTTTACAGCTCTGCACTCAGAAAAACTGAACTGTTTTAAGGTTCTAAAGACTGAATGTCAAATAAATATAACTTTTAAATGTTTACCTAGAAGCTATTATTAAATGTATTGATTCAAGTTTACAGAAACTTATTTGTAGGAAGTCTTCCCAAGCTCAAACATGTAACCACCCACTACTCACACGATGTAATAAGAAACATACAGTAATTTCCGTCCCTACTTATGAAAAAAAAGAAAGAAAATGAGAAAGAAATCACATTAACAAATATCTGTATGACTCAATCCTAGAATAAATAAAAGTAACTTGAATTACATCCAACGCTGTTTCCTAAAGTGAATCGCCTTCTACCACATGCCAACAAGAGTCCAAATTACGGGAAGTATGGGTTTTCCCCTGTTCTTTAAGAAAACCTTAAAATCTAAAATAAGTAACTTCAAGTTACCACCACCAACAAAAACCACCCGCAGTATCAAAGGGAGCAGACAGGCAAGGCTACACTTGTATATCCTGTGTAAGCAAGCTGACTCATTACTGGGAGACTGCAAGGCTACACCCACGACAATCTGAAAGCTCCAAGTTTCCAAATATTCAGTCTTATCATTCTATTACTCCATGGAATGTAACAGAAAGAATGTCTTCCTCATCACTCTGCAGGACAATGTGACATCAGGTGTGGTGCCACCCACTCACAATACTGTTTCCTTCAGTATCGCTTCGATTAGTCAGGGTCTTTGAGTCTCCCCATAAATTTTTGGATTTTTTTTTGTAAGTCGGGTGGAGAATAACACTGGAATACTGCCTGGAATGACACTGACTCTGTAGTTTGCTTTTGGTAGGGTGTTTATTTTAACGGTTTCTTTTTCTGCTAATCCTTGAGCACAGGCTGTCTTTCCATCTTCTTGTGGCTCAATTCCTTCTTCAGTGTCCTAAAATATCCATTACAGAGGCCTTTTGTCTCCTTGGTTAGGTTAATTTCCAGGTGTGTGTGTGTGTGTGTGTGTGTGTGTGTGTGTGTCTACTGCAAATAGAATGTTTCTCTAGTTGTTTTCCCTTTTTGGTATGTTTGTCATTGGTAAATAAGAAGGCTACTTATTTTTGTGTGTTAATTTTGTATCTAGCCACTTTGCTAAAATTATTAGCTCTTAAAAATTTTCAAATTAAGAGCAGCATGGCACTGACCCCAAAACAGACAAGCGGATTAAGGGAATGGAATCAAGGACTCAGATATAAGCACACACAACTACATTTACCTGAGTCTTGAAAAGATGCCAACAATACACATTGGGCAAATGTGAGATCTTCAACTAATGATGCTAGGAAAGCTGGACTTAATACACAAAAAGATGGAATTAGATCCGTATCTCTCATCATGCACAAAACGGGACTGGGACCTCGGCATTCAGACCTGAAACTGCTGCAGGAAGAAGTCGGGGGTGAACTTCAACTCACAGGCACGGGGGTGGGGTGGGGGACTTGCTGAAGACAATTTCGACAGCACAAAAATTAAGACCACTAGGAAATGGAATCAAACGAGCTGTCTATCACCAGATGAATGGAGAAAAAAAAAACATGGTGCATATACACAATGGAATATTACGTAGTTGTGAAGTGTCTAAAATATTCAAAATGAAATTTGCATATAAATGAATGAGACTGGAAAAGCTTTACACTTAGTGAGGTCAGGGCCAATACCACAAACTCTGCATTTTCCCTCCCGAGTGGGGATTCTGGCTTCTAACCTCTGTGTTCAATGGGGAGCACAGGTGCAAGTCAGCAAACATGGCCTTTGGGGGAGGCATGTTCCGGTAGGATAACAGATTACAGGTAAATACATGAAAGCAGTGAGGTGGAATACTGGGGGTCGAGAGGATGAAGGAGGGAGGGGCTCCAGAGGGAAGGGCTAACTTAAACGGTGAAAAAAGCCATAGGAAAACCTACTATTTCGCAGCTTATTTAAAAAAAATATAACTGGAGGGATGGTCAAATACATGGGCTATGAAAGAGGAAGAAGACAGGGAAGTAACAGGGGTTAAGTGACGTTCAGAAATGAAGTCACAAACGTTCACTCAGTCACCAAGCAAGGCCACAAGGCAGGGAGGAGCTGGCTGTCCGAGATGTGCTTGTCCACTATCACTCAGTTTCGTGTCTACTTCTACAAAGTTCAGCACCAATTCTTAAAAAGCATTTCATCAATCAATTGTCCTCATTAATTATGATGGGGGCAAAGAAAGCCCACCAAAGTTCAAAACTGTCCTATGTCTATGTGTCAAATGCGGGCAGTGTTTCCACTGTCACAACGCTGAGGGACGACTTGCAGACCATAACTAACTCCCTTGAACTGCGCATCTGCACCCAGTACTGCCTAAGTCCAGGCTAGGACCATCCTGTCTTGATATTACAATGGATTACTTCAGTATCAAATGTAACAGGAGCTAGCATTCCCATCTTATGTAACCCATCCCTTCAAACTCTCCGTCAACTATTGTGATAATCTGGATAAAAAGCGACATGTTCCTCATGTCCCTGTCCTCAGCTCACCCTCAAGTAGATTCCCATCATTTCATCCAGCCCTTGCAGGAAGTAGAAAACAGTCCTGGGCCCTGGGTGCCATCTGGTGGTAGATTAGAGAACTGTTAAACTCAACTTTTCCAATAAGAGTCGCGCTCGTTCGAACCCTCCCCCAGATAGCACCAGCTTTTATTCGGATTCTTATCATTTATTTCAGTAAAACCTTTTGTTTTTCTACCCTATTAACTGAATAAAAATAAATTTTACTTATAGCATCCAAGTTCCAAAATAATCTTAAGTACATTTGATGCAAAAAAAAAAAAAATACATTCTAGCCGCTGAGATAACCCGCCACAGACCTTTACTTGAACTGCTATTACTAATGCATTCAGAGCCTCGAAGGAATGGTAGTGCCTGAAGGACACTGAGGATCACGACAGGGTCAGCTGATTCCTCTCAAGGCAGAAGTGTCCCAGAAGAAACACTGCCACCACGTGCCCAGCAGCACACAACACGAGGACCAAGATTGAGACCCAGACCTCCTCGCTTCAAATCCAGCGCTCGGGCCAGCTGTGCTGTAGGCACCAGGGACCTGAACAGCTCTACTCTGTCTTCACAATCTTCACAATTATTGTGAGAGCAGGACATGCAACTACATCCCCGTACCGTGCCCACTCTACTGCTCAGCATAGCTTTTGTTTCTATTACTCTGCTGAGACTGGAGTGTGCCCAGGTCTAAGGGCTAGCTCACTGTAACAGCAGCTGGACTAGAGTGTGCCCAGGTCTAGGGGCTAGCTCACTGTATCTCACTGTAACAGCAGCTGGACTAGAGTGTGTCCAGGTCTAGGGGCTAGCTCACTGTAACAGGAGCTGGACTAGAGTGTGCCCAGGTCTAAGGGCTAGCTCACTGTAACAGCAGCTGGACTAGAGTGTGCCCAGGTCTAGGGGCTAGCTCACTGTATCTCACTGTAACAGCAGCTGGACTAGAGTGTGCCCAGGTCTAGGGGCTAGCTCACTGTAACAGGAGCTGGACTAGAGTGTGCCCAGGTCTAGGGGCTAGCTCACTGTAACAGGAGCTGGACTAGAGTGTGCCCAGGTCTAGGGGCTAGCTCACTGTATCTCACTGTAACAGCAGCTGGACTAGAGTGTGCCCAGGTCTAGGGGCTATCTCACTGTAACAGGAGCTGGACTAGAGTGTGCCCAGGTCTAGAGATATCTCACTGTAACGGTAGCTGAGACTAGAATGTACCGAAGTCTAGGCTATATCTCACTTTATCCCATTGTAACAGTATTTTTTCAGCTGTGCTGCACCCTGAGAAACCTCATTTTACAAGCAGAATTTGACTCCATTTTTGATCACAAATGCAGAGGCAGGACTCTGAACCTTGGCGGACATATAAACAACTGCCTGGACAGCACCCCCAGCAGAGACAAACAAACAAATAAATGAAAGAATGAATAAATGGATGAACAAATGCATGCTATTGGAGAAGGATATATAAGCAACACTCCACGGACAGTACTACCAGCATAGACAAACAAACAAACAAATAAGCAATGATAGAAAGAAACAGATCATCCCCAAAACATCCACAGAGTGATATTCTATCAAATTATCCAAGTAAATTGGGACCAAACGAGCACGTGGCATATTAAAATCTTATCAAGCACTGGCGACACAGCTCAGTGCCTAAAGACACTTGCTGCCAAACTCAATGGCCTGCATTTGATCTCCAGGACCCATGTGTTGGAGGGCGGCGAGAAACAACTCTCCTGTGTAGCTGGCACCTGTGTGCATGCATACACACACACACACACACACACACACACTCACTCAATATTCACAAATAAAATAAAATCCTATCAAGAAAGCCAGGCCCAAGAACTTATCAAACAAAACAAATGAATAAAAATTTATAGCATCCTCACCTGGACGCCATACAGAAAAGCAGGTTCCTAGAAACTGTGGGGAGCCCCACACTGGGAACCACCTATTACTGGGCAAATTAGGGTTTCCTCTTTGGGGTTCCTTATCTTATTAATAAAAGAATTTAGAAACAGACTTGAAAGGAAGGGTGACACCAATTTTATTAGGAATAGAAAAATCTTCAGAGGTCGTGGTGGCTACTTGGAAGAAGACTGCGAAGAAGAAGAAAGAACGCCATAGTTTGTAAGCAGTCACATGGTGGAAGGGGCAGGCATAGCTTCAGAGACTGAGAAAGCCCAGAGAATCAGGAAAGTCATGTTTAAGCTTTGGAAAAAGGAAAGTTGTTTTCTAAATAACTCAGAAAAGAAGGCAAGCTCAGCTGTGCTACAAGTTAGAAGCTCTGCAAGCGTCTACGCTTAGGGTGGGGTTTCTCGGGAGGATACATACCTTATCCTTATTACTTATTAAAGGGATAATTATTCCTCCCATCTCCTTAGCGTAGCTTTGGGTGTACCAGGTATATCCCTGAGGGCCACTCTTGGCAAGGTGATTGACAGGCCCAGATGGATTAACTGTTGAGGGAGGAGACAATGCTATGTCATGTTCTAATCTTGGGAGCGCGTCAGATTGTCTTGTCTCCACCCAGGGCCACAGGTAGATTCTTTTGGCCAGGACGAAACTGAGTCTCAACGGAGCCACCCTCAATGGTTTCCAACACTACTACGTCACCCCCCGCCTCAACAATCTCTAAAATGATTTAGAAGGTGGGCAGAGACTAGGGAATAGAAATAGCCCATCTTCACCATGAAATTCGTCATGAAAATCTAGAGACTCAGAAGGGATAAGTGTGTGCACTGGACTTTCAATCACACCTTCATACACACCTCCTAGGAGAAGAAACAAAGACCCAGAGCTCCCTACGGCACTCCTGGCACCTGGGCCGGACAGAAGCAAGGGCATTTACACTAAACTGCCTGTTCTATTTCTATCTCCTATCCTCGGCAAGGACGCCCAACACTGAAGGGTTATGACGACGGCCAACCTGCTGGGTCAAAGGACCAGTAGGCAGAGAGCTCCAAAATTCCCCTGGCCTACTCCTCTGACTGGACCTGGATCTCTCGCCAGTTTCCACAGTCCCCACACGTCACACGGCCAACTTGACTAAACGCTGAAGCTCAGCTCAACTGGGACCCTGCAGCTCATGGCCTGATTCACACCTCTGGCTTATCCGATTTCCCAGCACCTTAAACAAACACCTACAGGGATGCTTGAGACGTCTGCACCAGCCTGTTTTCAGGAAGGTATTTGGGACTCCTGGAAGAGCTACAACCTCTTCAGCACTTCGGCCGTCATTCTGAATCCCACACATACGTACTGCATGACGTGTATGATGTGATCTCCGAGTCGACAGTAACTAAGATCGGAATAAAAGAGCCTGTTTGAGCTGGGGAGCTACCAACGCTGGCTGTGCGAGCATTAAGGATCTGAGTTCACGCCCCAGAACCCATGTAAGAAAGCCAGACATGGTAGACCATGTTTGTCATCGCAGGGCTAGGAAGGCAGGGGCACATGTCTGTGGCTCACCGTCCATCCAGCCTCACCTATCTCCAGACCACTGAGACTGTCTCCAAAACGATAGCAGACAGAGCCCAGGGAACAATTTAAGACCTCTTGGTCTCCACATACGTGTGCACGCACCTGTGCACAAAGAACCTGTTTGCCTGGGCCAGCAAACAGGGAAAACTGAGACTACTTGGCAAAGTGGGGCCCCACAAAATCCGTGTTGCTTCTAAATTTACTGTATTTCAATCAATTCCGAAGCTGTGGAAAGACGAATGTGTTTGTTGCTGACAGCACACATTCACTACATGTTACTGTACTGGAAACCTAGGACATTTTCACCGTATTATACACAAAGGCTTTTCTGCTTAGGATGCTATTTGCCATTATATAACAGTTTCTTCATGGAGAACTGTTACATTGTAACTTTAGGGACACAATCCATTCAGCAAAGAGTCTACTTACTAAGGGTTTCTCCTTGGGTTTTTGGTTTGTTGTTATTCTTGTTGTTTTGAGACAGGTATCTTACCCAGGCTCCTGATGTGTGCACAGGCCCTCTTTTAAAAAGACCTAATCAGTCTTGCCTAAGCAAAATAGGATGGAAAAACTGTAGCACAGAAACTAATTTTGAGAAAACTATTTAGTACCAGATGCATTACAACTACAGGAAGTTTGCCAGTTGAAGAGGCCCATGCGTTCAATCCGGGAGACAGAGGCAGACCCTGTCTCAAAACAAAAAACAAAAGACAAGAGTTTAAGTTAGCTTTGCTCCTTTATCATAAAACAATCCTCAAACTTAAGTTCCAGATAGGTAACTATAAACATCATAGTATAGTTATTAATGATTATAAGTTACACTGTAAGTCCTGTGACTACTTTGTGCACAGAGCAATTTCCGCAGCCCTATTTTACAAAGCAAAAAACAGCAAAATTCCTAATGCTTAGCAAGTTAAAAAATTAGCCCAGGACGGGGTGTCGGAGCACAAACTATGAACTTCCAAGATTCTAGCTTCACCCCTTCCAGGTGGAACCTCCCAACAGGAGTGCACAAGACTTTAGGTCGCTACAGCTCTCCTCAGGGCTCTGAAGTCAATGGGGCATGAAGGTAACTAGACCTATGTGGCTACTTCATGTCACTGATTTAAAAAAGAAAAATCTACACAGTGAAAATAAAAAGGGCGTAGCCAGGAGCTTTTCTGACTTTGGTGGCCCGCTCAGGGCAGCACCAGACACCTTCCTCTCAAGGTTTGCTCAATGTGAAAGGCAAGAGGTCGTGCCACCATCTTGCTAGAACACCAGTCAGTCTCCTGTTTGTGGATGGCATTCGGGGTGCAAACTTTTAGGTATAAACTCAGTTTGTTATTGTTTTATTTTTTTTTTAAGTTACCCTACAAAATAACAGGATCCACTACGGCATTTGCCCACAAGCCTATCGCAGTAGCTGGCTCACACTCCCCTCCCGCTTCCTCCCTCCAAATACGCAGGCGCTCGCAGTCCGATCGCGACGCAAACTCGAGTTTAGGCGTGAAGCCCCGGTCCCCAAAGTTCTGCGTCCGCCCGGAGGGGGATGGGCTTCGCTGCTCCCGAGAGGGCGGCGCGGGAGGACAGCGGGCCACGCCGCGGAGGTCAGAGGGTGGAGCGCGGCGCCGCGGGCCGCCTGCGGTCGCAGCAGAGGGCGGTTGGCCCCGTGCCGCCCTGCGTGTCCGCGCTGCGTGCCGACACCTGTCCCCCCGTCACCCCGGGCTGGGCGCGGGCTGCGGACCCCGCCGGGCAGAGCACGGCGGCGCGGCTGCTCCTCGGGCCGGCGCGGAACTCGGCGAGACACTTACTGAAGAACAGGCGGTAGTCCTCCGAGTGGGGAAGACCGCGCTCCTCAGTGAGGTACAGGGACATGACGCGACGCGGAGGGCGGGCGGCGGCCCCCACGCGCCACCCTCGGACGACGCTCAGCAGCGGTAGCAGCGCGCGCATGGCGGACGGATTGCGCCAGGCGGTGGCGGCGGCTCGGTACTGGGGTCGGCGCGGCCGCACGGCGGCGCCCCCTGCCGCCCGGAGCCGGCACTGCCTCCCTGCTGGTTAGCCTCAAATCCCACCCTCTTCTGGTTCCCAGGGACTGCCCCCCACTTCACCTTCCTCCTAGTGCCCTCAGACCCTTGCCCCAGGAATTCATCATAGGCACTCATTCATACTCTGCCAATATCTACGATCACACTTTAATTACATTAATGTAGTATTGGTTGCATGGCTCTGGAAGCTGCTAAAGACTGTTCAGAGACGAGAGGACACACACCCACCCACACACACACACACACACACACACGAATATAACACATGATCGAGCCTCCTAGTGAAGACCTTTGACACAGACTTAGCCCAAATTTGTAATTCCCTCAAATGGCACTTCCTCCTTAAGGCCCTTTAATATTTAACTCAAGTAGAGGTAATTCCAATGTCCCAGCAATCATATATGTCACAAGTCTTTATATCTAGTCTAGTGGCCACAACTAGTTATAATAGCAGCCTTTATGCCCAGGTCTTTGGTCCAGCTACCAGTGGGCGCTATGGTAGAGCAGAAGGAGCAAGTGACAGGGCCACAGATGGGATTATCCTGTTCTGTGGACCAGTGTTTTGGGGGAATCTTCATTGGAAAGGTCTTTGACATCTCTACCAGCATCTTCTTAACTATGAGCAGGGTTCTCACCTCCTGGGTACTCGGGTTCTTTCTGCACTTAAACTGTGACAGAATTAAAACAGGTTTTACTCAAGTCCCAGAAAGAACCTCTTAATTGAATATTTGATCAAAACAAATTCCTATTGAATTTGTAAGCTGTCTAATGGTCTACGTTATTAAAACTAACATCAGACTTGCCAAGTATGTGATTTAGGGACATATTCATTACTTCATGGCATTAAAAGAAATGACTTGTTTCTGAAACACATAAATTTCTATCTTTTGTGTTCTATATTTTGTTGAAATACATGTGTATCAAAATACATACCATATGATACGTGGTATGAAAACAGGTTGGATTACTGGATAACTTTACAAAACAAATTTCTGCAGCTGTTTATTGTATAACACTTACCTATTTCAAATGTAGACATTTGGAACCTTCGTTGGAAATCCCTTCCATGTGAAATTCATTGAATTTCCTCCATGGATATTTGCCATTATTGTGTAGCAAGTATGAGTCTTAATCCTTAATTCTAGGACCTTACAATATGGAGGATAAAGACAAATGTTCAAAAGCTCTTGAATATCCCCAGAATTTACAATATAAATATAAACTTGAAGAGCTTGGATGGTTGGTTGTGGTCTTTTGAGACCTCCCCTCTTCTAAGGTGCGTCTAGTAGAGCACCAAGATTAGTTACTGTGCTGATTTTTATTTATTTGTTTATTTATTAAAGATTTCTGTCTCTTCCCCGCCACCACCTCCCATTTCCCTCCACCTCCCCCAATCAATTCCCCCTCCCTCATCAGCCCAAAGAGCAATCAGGGTTCCCTGCCCTGTGGGAAGTCCAAGGACCACCCACCTCCATCCAGGTCTAGAAAGGTGAGCATCCAAACTGCCTAGGCTCCCACAAAGCCAGTACGTGCAGTAGGATCAAAACCCCATTGCCATTGTTCTTGAGTTCTCAGTAGTCCTCATTGTCCGCTATGTTCAGCGAGACCGGACTATGCTGATTTTTTATCTGAGGACAGTGAGACATCCAAGCCAATCCAACATGGATCCCAGGAGACAAACATGAAAAGTTCAGGACTCTGAATAAGACACTTCACAATAAACAAAATCACCCGGCTGTTACCATCAAAGTCGAATTTTAAGGTTTTTAGATTTTCAGTTATTTACTTTTCCGAGAGTAGATGTGAGCCAGCTGCTGTTGGTTTCCCAACTAAAAGCAAATGAAGGAGGTTCAAGTAAGAGGTCATGTGTGCTTTAGGCTGTGGAGCTCAGTGGGCTGGGTACACAGCACCCCACACAAGGCCTAGATGAGTCTATCATAAACCCCAGCTGCCAGATAGGGAGCTGCAGAATTCTGTGATTACCTTACTGGGTTTACGTCTTGTTATGGTCCCATAATTCCTAACTATGACCTTATTTCTCTCTTTTGGACTTTGTGCCATTGTATATTGGAGATGTGTAACTATTTTTTACATGGTCTGCTAAGAGATTAGCTGAACTTCAGTAGAGACACTGTGCTTAGGCTTTTGAACACTACTGGAACTTTGGGTACTGTATGAAATGTAATAAATAGATTTTTACACTAGAAAATGAACTGGACTAGAGGTGGCTAATCATGATTTGAAAGTGAAGTATGGCTGACATGTTGACAGAACTGGCTTGAGATTGTTAGTCTGCGCTGTAGTGATATTTCGTTTGTGTTTTAACAAATAAAACTTGCCTGAAGATCAGAGTGCAGGACTAAACCACTAGAGAACAGGGAGTGGTGGCACAGACCTTTACTCCCAGAACTGAGGAGACAGAGGCAGAAGGCAGAGGGATCTCTGTTAGTTCAAAGCCACCCTGGGCTACATGAGACTGAATTTGTCTAATAGAGAAACAGAGCTCACACACAGGTGATCCCAGCAGTTGGAATTCCATGCCTTTAACTCCAGTGCTAGGGAGATGGATATAGGAGTAATATGGCTGGGCAGAGAGGGGAATATAAGGCGGGGGGAGACAGCAGCTCAGTGTAGTCTGAGGAACAGGGAAGTATGAAGTAGTCTGAGGATGCAGTCTGAGGACTCAGTCTAAGGACGCAGTCTGAGCACAGGATCGCCCCTTTGGTCTGAGCATTGGTAGAGATAATCACTCTCTAGTGGCTGGCTACTTTTCTTCTCTGATCTTCAGCTTTAACCGCTATATCTGACTCTGGGTTTTTATTACTAATACGAATTAGAATTTGTGCTACACTGCACTGTCAACTAGATTTTGGGCTACCTAAGGGACACAACTCTAATCATGGCTGTGAGGTTGTTTCCAGAGAGGTATAGCTAGAGAGGGGAAAACCTAGGATGAATGTGGATGGCCTAGGGTCCTGGGATGAATAAAAATGACAAGAAGAAAGCGAGCCGAGCATCATCATCTCTCTGTGCTTGCTGACACAATATGAGCAGATGCCTAGCACTCCTGACACCCTGCCTTCCCCACCATGATCTACTGCACCCTAATCTATGAGTCAAAAAAAAAAAAACCCTGCCCTTCTTAAGTGGCTTTTGTCGCATATTTTTTTCTACAGCACCCAAGAAATGTGTCTAATTGTTATGGAATAATCCTCTTGTGCAGTGTGAAGAGAAGGCTGAATGGTCAGAGGTAGGCAGGAAGAGGTTAGGCGGGACTTCTGGGCAGAGAAAGAAAATGAGGAAATGAATTCAAGCACAAGAGAATGCCAAAGGACACAGAGAGGAGACAGGAGGTGCAAGATAAAAGAGAGATAAAAAGTCATAAAAAAAAACAAAGGTAATACAAATGGGTTAATTTAGGTTAAAAGAGCTAGCCAGACAAGTCTAAGCAATAGGTCAAGCTTTCATAATTAATAATGTCTCCATGTTGTTATTTGTGACTTGGCAGTCCAAATAAAGATGTTTCTACACCTAATATACAGTCAAAATCTCTGCATGTTCTGCTCAATATTCCTGTGAACACAAACTTGCTCTTTTTGAAGGCACATTTTAAAGAAAGTCATACAACTACATAAGCATAGTAAAAGACATATCTCGAAATTATAGAATCATTTTCTCTTCCTACCCTAGCTCATCTTTCTTTTCCTTCTGCTGATTCCATCGGGGCCTCACTATGTAGCCTAGCTGGCCTCCTGGTATTATCAATGGCAAATACAGTAATTTACATTTAGAATGTCTCATTCATTTTCCATTGTTAGTTGCTATGCCTTGCACTATCATTTAGTAAGTATCATTCTTGCAGCTTCCTAACTAATAGCTCCTGTCACTGTCAGATGGCTGCTGCTGACCACAAACATTTGCTTTCAACTCAGATGGGCTTTCTCAAGCAACAGTCTGTGTGTGTGTGTGTGTGTGTGTGTGTGTGTGTGTGTATAAAGAACAATTACCCCCTTGAATGTTAAATGCAGCTATGTAGCTACAAGGTGATTCCATTTATTGAGAGGTTTTTTTTTTAACATGCCTTTCTTTTTCTAGTGGTGATATCATTTTGTTTACTTTTATTTTTAAGCAATTACTTTTTATTTTCATTTCATAGATCTTTATTCATCTCTTTAATCATCCACACCTCATCTAACTTGATGAATAAAGTTTAAGTTCGCAAAACCCCCTTTGAACACCTGCTTTAAAATAACAAAAATATTTTAAAAACATATAGAGCTATTATATAATATCTCATTGTAGCCCCAATTTTACAGCATTTAAATATCAAAAGGGTGTTTCTGAATGAGGTGTACTTCATTGGTAATTTTGTGTGTAGTTCCTGTGTCTCATAAGTCTTTCAGGTTCATGAAAATTCTTGAAAAGATGGCTGATGTAGGGTAATTCTTCTGTACACTGTGAATATTTATTATTCTCATTGGTTAATAAAGAACTGACTGGCTGGTAGCCAGGCAGAAAGTATAGGCAGGACAACCAAACTGATGCTGAGTCAGAGGAGACTCCTGAAGATACATAATAAGCAGGATCTGTAGAAAATGAGGTAACAAGCCACACTGCAAAGCATAGATAAGAAATAAGGGTTAAGTAAGAGTTAGATAGTAACAAGCCTGAGCTATCAGCTGAGCATTTACAATTAATATTAATTTACTGAATAGTCATTTGGGAGCACTACAGTTATAGTCAAACCCCGCCTACGAATAGCATTTCAACGTGGGGCCAGAATTTCCACATAAGACCTGACAACATTTTTAAAAGGATTCAAACAGACAAAAGCAGAGGCAAGCGCAGTTTCACAGTAACTGCCTTTTCTTTTTAGGATCTATTTGCTAAGAGGCAAGCAGAGGTGCGGCTCCTTAAGAAGTGGCTTCCTGACTCAGTGCCAGTGGCAAAACACCATGCTGCTCTTTTAAGAGGACCTGCTACCAAACACATAAATGGGCTTTGGGGGCAGCAGGTGA